CACAGCGTCCGACAGTCGGTCTCTTACTGTGTCAGACTTGTCCCACCCTCGGGTTCTGTAGTCCCCCAAAGCCCAGGGAAGAGCTGGGAGCAGAGCGGCCTCTCAGGGGGTTCTTCGTGGGAGGGGCTGTCCTTCCTGCTCAGGGCCTTGGTGGCCCGACCTCAGATAGTTTGTAGAGCTGAGCCCTGGAGCCAGTGATGTACGCACACGTCTGTGTGTATATGCGTGTGTGTGTGTGCGTGCATGTGTGTGTGTGCCCGTGGGTATGTGCATGTGGGTAGAAGTTATTCTCCTTCCTTCTGTGCAGCTGAGGAAGGGAGGTTGCCCCCAGAGGGCCCTTTGCCTCTGACAGTGCAGAGGCGCATTCTGGTGTTGGTTCAGCATGGGCAGAACAGCCAGCTGGTGAGGCCCCTGCAGGAGCTGTGGGGGTGCAGAGGGACCAGCTGGGGGCAGGGGAAGGTGCCAGGTGTGCAGACCACCTGCCCGGGCCTCTGTCATGGAGAACCGCCCCCAAGGGGAGCAGCTGGACAGTGTGGGGTGACTGGTGACCAGCCCTCTGCATGTGGCTTCAGGCAGGCGCTGGTTGACCATTATAGCAAGTTGTCTGCAGAGGCAGCTCGTCGAGAGCAGAAAGCGCTGTGGAAAGTCCAGAGGCACCGGCTGGCGAGCGCACGGGCTCGCTTTCTCTTAGAAGATCAGGAGCACATTCAGGTGTGTCAGGGGCCACTCTTCCTGGGCTTTAGGGGCTCCAGGACCCCCTGAAACTTCATGCAGACCTGCGTGCCCTTCTGGGGAAGGGATGGTAACTCCCTTCAGTAGCTCGGAGACGCGCTGGGAAGGGGCTGAGGGCGGTCTGTGGGCGAGCTGCACAGCCCTGTGATCTCAGTGCCGAGGCTCCGGGCCAGGCGGCTCGGGGCGGGGGGTCAGGTCTGCTCCACCTGGCAGCTGCCGCCTCACGCCCTGGCACTGACTTTCAGGCCATGCTGAGAGACGCATCCGAGGGGAGGCCCCCCGAGCCGCCAGCGGTGCTCCCGAGTGCGTGCTCCCAGGTGAGGGGCAGGGCACTTCCCGGGCATGTCACGTGGGCTCTGAGCTGGGGACCCAGGCCTGTGCTGCCCAGGGGACAGTGGGTGCCTGTCCTGTGTCCCCACGGTCCCCAGAACGGAATTTGGGGATAGAGCTAGATAACCAGGGGACCAACGATGCTCTTGTGTTTCAGGCCTCGTCTCTGGGCCCTGGGCACCCCGATGGAGGTGGCAGCTGTGATCCTGGGTGTGCAGAGCAGCACGTGGCTGCCTGGGATGGCCCAAGCCGGCCACGGGAGCTGACGCCACAGCCCCTCGAGCCTCCAGCACTGGGGGCCTGCAGTGGCTCAGAGCTGGGAGCAGGCCTGCAGCCAGGGCAGGCCGAGGGGCCAGGGCTGTTCTCTGCAGGCCTCAGTATCCAGGATTTCCTGCCCACGGGCCAGGGTGCTGATCAGCCTGGGGACGCTGGGGTGGCCCCTGTCTTGGAGGAGGCCCTGCAGACCATCGGCTCAGATCTGCGCTCCTCTGCTTCGTCAGCCACAGCGGGCACGGGCTGCTCGGGGCCACAGGAGTACGATTTCAGAACTGTCCTGAGGCCAGCTCTGGTCACTTCGGTCCCAGGGTCCCTCCAGACTGTGGGAGGCAGCTTAGGCTGCGAGGGGCTGCAGCTGTGGGGGGACACTCACGAGTTTAGGCTGGACACCTGTGTCCCGGATGGGCAGGTGGCTCTGCCTCACCCATCCCTACCCAGGAATAACCTCCCCGAGGAGGGGAGTAGCCAGGCCATGGGGCAGCCTCTTGGGCATGTGTCTGAGGGTGGTATTCTCACAGGGGGCTATGCTTCTGGAATGGCCCCCTCCCGGCCACGGTGGAACGTCCACGGACACGTGTCTGATGCCAGCATCAAGGTGGGGGAGAACGTGTGGGACGTGGCATCCTCCCGGCCACGGTGGAACATCCACGGACACGTGTCTGATGCCAGCATCAAGGTCGGGGAGAACGTGTGGGATGTGGCTCCCTCCCGGCCACGGTGGAATGTCCACGGACACGTGTCTCAGTCCCAGGTGATGCTGGGGGCGCCCCCAGGGGAAACCCAGCCTGATACGCCCAGGCCCCTTCCGAGCCCCCCTGACCACGTGTCCCAGCCAGGCCTCAGCCTGGGAGCACAGAGCCCTACTTGGGACCATGACTCACAGCTGCTGGCAGAACCAGCCTCAGTCGGCGCCTGCGCTCGGGTGGCTGGCTCTGGGGAAGAAGGTGGCCTCCAGGCCTTGCCGGGTGCTGAGGCTGGACCCAGTGCTGTGGGAGACGGCACCCCTGAGCCAGGTCAGTGGTCTGCAGAGCTGTCCTGTCGCTGGTGGTGTCTGGGTCCAGGAGGGGGAGGAGGAAGGGCGGGAAGTCTGCTGTCCTGGGGACTTGGGAGGTGCTGCCCACAGCAGGCACTGGCCCTGACTCCCCCTCCCCGCCCATTTGTGCTGCTCAGGCCCAGGGAGGAGTGGGGACACCGAGGACGGCTCTGCAAGCCAGCCTTCCAGCTCACAGGTCAGGGCAGAGGAGGGTGGGGGCTCAGGGTTGGGGGGCCATGCCCCACCTGCCCTTCTCTTTGGACAAAGGGAAGGGGCATGGTCATGATGCTGGGTTGTCTTAGGAACGTGCAGCCTCCCTGAGCAGCCCGGGCCTGGAAGAGGAGGCGGAGGCCGGGGCAGTGGCCAGGCGCCAGGGCAGGGAGCAGGCCTACCTGGCAGGCCTGGTGGAGCAGTACCGCCTGGAGCAGTACCCGGACAGCTACGAGGCCATGTGTGAGTGGGCGCGTTGTGGGAGGGCGAGGGGGCGGGCACCTGGAGGCCCCTGGGGTGACATCAGCTGTGCTGTCCCTGCAGCAGAGCCTCCCGTCGCGCGCCTCCTACACCATGGGCTTCCTCGGGCCTTCTCGCTCCCCGAGGACACCCGGGGCCCGCTGGGCACGGAGGAGACCGTGGATGAGACCGCGGTGCAGCTGAGCGAGCTGCTGCCGCTGCCTGTGCTCATG